GTTTTTACTTTTCCTTTGGCCCTGTCGTCTGTCGTAAGGTCAATTTTGGTATATTTTGGTACGCTTGAGCTTGTTTGCAGAATAAAACAAATGCACGCATTTCAAAATTAAATTTCTTTTTGGTATTTTTTGGTATTCTTTTTTTCGCATTTTTTTTTTTTTTTTTTTTTTGTGTTTCGCCTGGCACATTCCGAAAAACCGAAACCATAACCAAAGCCAAAACGAAAGTATTTTTTTTTCTTTGTTTGTTGTTCTGTTAGACGTTAGCACACACGCACACAAAATTCCAACCGAAAACGTACAATACGAGAGAGCGCAAAGACGCACAGATATATACAAAGAGTGTGAGTGATAGATAGAAAGAGAGTGAGAGAGATAGAGAGAGAGAGAGAGCGAGAAAGAGAAAGAGGAAAGCAACAACAAATTGCAGTTTCGAAAGGGCAAAACACAAATTTCCAGAGCATAATCAGAATCCATCTTGTGGTATTTAAAATATACCAAATTTAACGAAAAGAAGTTATATTTGATTCAAATTTTCCAGCGAATTTAAGTCATGTCTCAAATGGAATCACACATGATTCATAAATGAATCCTATTCGAAATAAATTTACTTTGTATTTGAATCATATTAATGAATCATATTAGAATGATATTTCATATCATAATAGGCAATTAATTTTTAAGCCATATTATAATAAAGATTCATATTTGAAATATTCTATTCATAAGCTAATATATACATATTTATATTTCAATTATGTATCACATTTTGAAATATATTTGAATCATTTTTCAAAACATATTTAAATCACATTTCAAATCATATTTGAATCTATTTTGAATAACTAATGGTTTCTGACTATATTTAAGCAAATATACACAGTATATAACTGCATATATCACTCTCTGCTTGACATTTGAGCTGCTTTCCTCTGTTTGTGTTGGCAACTCGATGTAAATGTTATGATACCCCAGCATTTGAAGATATAGTTGGGGCATAATAACCATTGTAAGCCCAGATTCATAACAGAAAAACACGCAAATGACTTGAACTATGTTAATAGAAAGGCCATTAGATTGGGCAAAATAGATATAGAGATGAAAAGATCGATAGAGAGAGAAAGAAAGAGAGAAAGAGAGAGGAGAGCGGAATAGGAAGCTTGATAGTGAGCTTTGGTGCTCACACTTACCTGTGTAGCCTTTGGGATATACCATGGTAACCTCATCGAACTTGGGCTTCTTGATGCCTTGGCTGCCAACTGTAGTGCATGCTACAAAATGGGAGTGTCAAAGAAAGGAAGAGAGAAAGAGAGAGAGAGAGAGAGCGGAAGAAGAAGAGACGAAGAAGGAAGAAGAAGTGGAAGGAGAGAGAGGAAGACAATGAGAAAGAAAATGAGAGTTAGAAGAGTCAAGTTAGTTTTAGATAATGAATAAGAGAATGTGTTGAAAACTGATCACTGATCATTGACCACTGAACATAAATCATTGATACTTGATAACTGATCATTGATCGTTGATCATTGATCACTGATCTTAGATCATTGATCATTGATCATTGCTCAAAACTCGAAGCTCAAAGCTCATAGTCTATAGCTCATTGATTATTTTCTTATTGCACATTGCTCATTGATCCCCGATCATTGATCATCATTTATTGTTCATTGATCATGCAATCATTGCACCAATGCATTGGTGCTAAATATTGCCCACATTCTTCTAAAGCGGCTCTTCCTCAAAAATTCCATTCGAAAGTAACGTAAAGCCTCTTGACAAATAATTATTTTAGGTTTCGCTGGTTTTCGGGTGCACTCGAATGAGAGTTTTATTTGACTACGACCTAGTATATTAGGCATATTTGACTTAGATAGACACTATATCCCACAAACTCTATTGGGATATGGAAGTTGAAATCAAGCGTTTAGCAAGCGTAAGACATTTTCTGATGAAATGGCAAATCTCATATAATATTCAAACAGTAAGCTGTTATCGATAACTTGAAAAGATATTAGAGTATAGTTATCGAAAGTAATCGCACTGTTGTTGGGTCAGTCTGTATAGCTTAAGATGTGGGCCATAGCTAATTCTCAGCCTAAGATCTGTTAGCTATATGCTAATCTATCCACACTCATTTTTCACTGGAAAAGCTTTCTATATGTTAAATTCCTGTAGTTCTTTGTCTGATTTCTAGTCGACTCACCGTCAAATTTCATGGCCGTAGCAGCTGCAACTGCGGCTTTGTGCTGCTCCACTGTGCCGCCGGCCTCCAGAACGCGCATCTTGTTGCGATTGGCAATGGGACAGCCCGATGCGCTGTGTGGAGTAGACGACGCAAGAGAATAATAGATCCAAGTACCGTTAGGGAGCTCGAATTTGGTTGGCTGTCTGCTGTTTGCTTACCTTCGATGTGAGAGGAATTTGCCGGTGGAATGGCCGGAGCCATCGCAGCCGGGTATGGGGCAGCGCAACGGCTCCGAGTCTTGGCCATCGCGCGGCTTGCTCTTCGGCTTGTTGGCGCGCGGACAGCCGGACAGACTGCGGTGCGATGAATAGTTGCCAGTGACGTGGCCAGAGCCATCGCAGCCAGGCGTCGGGCACTTTAGCTCCTGTGAATGCGATTGCAAATGATTGCGATCCGAGCGCGAGCAGCCCGTTAAGCTAAGAGAGAAAGAGAGAGGGAGAGGGAGAGAGAGAGAGCATATTAAAACTTGACGAAGACAAGTACGTAAAGTCCTTTAATGCTTCATTAAATTCAAAAGTGGGAAAATAATTGGAAAGGATATATTCTTCAGGGGAAACTCCAAGTTGGCTTGTGGCACAGTTTGGGGCTTGCGGCTGTCCAGCTTGGGCAGCTTTTATGAGCGCTCTGCGCCCGCACGGTCGCAATCATTAATATGCTAGCTAAGAAGCTGTTGACACACACGCACACCCACACCCACACACACTCGAGTGCACAGTGACACAGCAATGAAGAGTCTAATATTTGTAAGTGCCTGACTAGGAAATACCCTGAACTTGGAAGGAAGAATGTATGGGAAGATGGAAGGGTAGAGGCGGACGGTAGATAGCCAGACAGGCTGGAAAACAGATGGAAGGACAGACAGGTACAGGCAAAAAGGGAATGACGGACAGACGGACGTATAGACGGATGAGTAGAGCAACAGATAGGCAGAGTTATAGCCAGATGGACAGACAGGCGGTCTGGTAAGACCAATAAGTGATTAGACGGTAGACGTGAATGTAAATAGATCAAATCAGCTCGTTAAATCCGTAGGCGCTATGCCACGCCTCCTTCTGTCTGTCACAAAAACAATGTACCCACAATTTAGTCTCCTTGGTAGTGCATAAAAAGGGGAATATGAAAGTGAATTGGATTCACACTTTTCACTTCGTCTCATTCTCTGGCATATCCCAAAGCTTCAAGGGGTTTTCCTACAGCTCATAGCATCTGCAACCACTGTGCGACACACTGACAGCAACAGGAACGGGGACAGGGACAGGGACAGGCGCAGTGACAGCGACTGTGACTGATGAGCCGCAGTGAATGATGCTGTTAGATGGATGGCACATACCGTCCATCAAGAGCACGTATCAAGGACTTTTCACTAATTGCATTTTAGATTAGGTAGAGGCACACGCAGTGCAGTGGACTCACCCATCTTTGGTCTTGTCGTGCTGCGGTATGTGCTGCGGCGGTGGCATCGAGTAGCAGGTGGCCGGACTGGGTGAGTAGCCGCCGGAAACGGGCGTCGGGTAGCCGCCGGGTCCCACGGCCGTCGCATACGGATTGCTGCATTGATAGGCGGCGGGGCCATAGCCGTGATAGCCAGCTGGTGGGTAGTCGGATTGCACTACCATGCCATAGCCAGGATGTGGTGAATAGCCTGCAGTGGAGGAAAACACAAGATATGATGTGATATACGATATACGACATACGATATGACCTATGTGCTATCATAAGATTAGATATGGCATTGGGAACGTACCGCTCGGATCTCTATACGTTTCGATATAGTGTGAGCCGCCGCTGTCGGGCGTCGATTCGCGGCTATATGGACGCGGCCCGCTGATGTGACCCACCAGGCCAAAGCCAAGTGGACGCGGCGGTCCGCTAAAGTCCACGGGCTCCATTTGTGGTGAACGCGGCGGTCCGTTCGGTCCGATTGAGCCGGGCGCAGCGCTGCCAAAGCCCTGACCGTGGCCCACAACAAGGCCGTCGGCGCCGTACTGCGGGCTCGTGATGATGCTATTCAAAGAAAGAGATGGACACCAGTTAATAGGGGAAATACCTTCAATTATGCTTGCCTGCTATGTCAACTTATATACATATCATCTTAGAAGAGCTTAATATAATTTAGATTTGAAACTGTTTCAGCGATGGAAATACGTAGCAGAGCTCAGACATCAATTTTCGATCATGTAACTCTTTCAGTGTCTGAGTTCCTTGAGGTCAGTTGAGCTTACTATAGCAAAGAGTTATTTCAAAACACTGTATTTTCTTACTTGTCTAAATTTAAATGTTTGGAATATGTAGTCGAGCCTAGATATCAAATTTTGGCCTCATAGCTCTTAAGCCCAATGAGTTCCTTGAGGTCAGTTAAGCATTAATGATAACTGATAGACTGTTTCTGATAGAATCGCCCTTTGAGCATTCGAAAGATCATATGTGTGTTCAAGAAACATTTTTCACCAGACATCTCTTATAATTGGATATACATACTATAACCTAAAAATTATTGTAATTGTTATATGTATGATTATGGTTTGTCTAAGTAGATATTAAGCTAAATATAATCTATCTAGGATATCAGTAAATTATCCTTATCTTAACTGTAGCTTATTCTAGCTTAAAAATACTGAATATATCAGATGAATACATAAAACTAAGCTTATAGGTTATAGGTTAGGAGCCGATGTACCAAGTTTCGTAACGCTAGCTCTTCTAGTGCCCGAGTTACTTGAGGTCAGACGCAGTGTTTATTGAAATATATGACAATGATTCAATATGCTCGAGAGAGTGCACAAAACAATATGAAATGAGTCAAATGAAAGTAATTAAATAGTAATTAACATGTAATTAAATAGTAATTAACAAGTAATTAAACCAAAATATTATTAATCTAGGCTAAACGCAAAGTCGAGTTGAGCCTGGGCGAGTGGACTTTGGATGCTAGGTAAATGGGGTGAGGCGGGAGTAGGGGTTCTTCTTCTTCCGTTCGTTCGGTCTTACCTGTGCGGCAAACGCGTCACGCTCAGATCGAGCGTCTGGCCCTGCGGACTCGGCACTTGGGGGCTGGCAATGTTGGGGCTGGCGCCCGGCTGTGGGCTGCCGTTGCCCATGCGCTGGTTGTATTGGTTGTGCGAGGCTGGCGAGTTGAAACCGTGCGGGCTGGACGATGTGACCGATGTGGCGCCCGATAGGTCAACAGCTGGCGCTGCCACGCCCACATTTGGCGTCGGCGAACTGCTCTGTTTGCTGTGCTGCTGCTGTTGCTGCTGGAGATGTTGCTGCTGCTGCTGTTGTTGCTGTTGCTGCTGCTGCTGTTGCTGTTGCTGTTGCTGCTGCTGTTGTTGCTGCTGCTGCTGCTGCTGTTGATTCTGATAGGCAGCAGCTGCTGCCGCCGCCTGCGCCGCAGCCATCTTCACCGACAAGTTAATGGCCGAGAAGCCCGGCGGCAGCGGCCCCATCGTCGGATCGTAGTGGTACATGGGCCGCGGATAGATCGGCCCGCCCCCATTGGCCAGCTCCTCGTGCTCGGCCTTGGCCATCAGCAGCTGCTGCTCCTGCAAGTACTTCTGCTGCTGCGCCTGCAGGTCGTCGGCCGCCTGTGGCAGATAGTGGTACATGTTGGCCGGCGCTGTGGCCGCTGTGGCGCCCGGCTGCAGTCGCTGTCCCCCGCTGGGGCAGCAATTCGGATCGTAGCGCTCGAAGCCCGCTGCGCTGCCGCCGCCGCCGCCGCCGCTGACCGAATCGCCGACGCCGAGGCCGACGAACACGGGCGCCACTGTGCCCGGCGGATGTGTGTGCGGATGTGAGTGCGGATGCGGATGCGAGTGCGGATGTGGGTGCGTATGCTCATAGGCACTGCGCGCCGTCACCGGCGACAGCTCGCTGCTGCTGGGATTGCTGGCGAGCAACTGTTGCTGCTCCGCGCTCGGATCATGGCCATGGCTCTGCGCATAGCGCATCTGCTCATATTGCTGCTGACGCTCGTCCGCCTGCTGCTGCTGCTGTTGCTGTTGCTGCTGCTGCTGCTGCTGGTGCTCTGAGTGATAGCTGGCTGGATCGTTGGCGTCGCCGGCGCTGGCATTGCCCGCGGGCATCATCTGTGTGGCATTGCCCTCGATGAAGGGTCCGCGTTGCTGATGCAGCGTGTGTTGCTGCTGCTGTTGTTGTTGCTGCTGCTGCTGCTGCTGCTGGTGATGTTGGGCGTGTGGACTTTGCATGCTAACATAGCGACTCAGATGCGCTTCGCTGTTGCTATTGTTGTTGTTGTTGCTGTTGTTGTTGTTGTTGTTATTATTGCTGTTGTTGCTGTTACTGTTGCTGCTGCGCGCACTGCCAGCGGGTATTGCGCTGCTGGCCGCTGCAGCGGCATCATTGGCCAAATACGAGTGCATGGGACTTTTGTTATATTCCGACTTAATGCTGGCCACCGGACTGTATTCCGTTTTGATAATGGGCATCGTTTTGTTGTTGCTGCCGTTGTTGTTGTTGTTGTTGTTGTTGCTATTCGTATTGTTGTTGTTGATGCAGCTGCTGTTGTTGTTGTTCAAATAATGGCTAGAGCTGATCTTGAGCTTGTCCAGCGCATGCAGCTCCTTCTCATGCTTCTCCAGTTCGCCAGCTGCGCACGGCGTCAAACAGATAGACAGAGATGGGGAGAAAGAGAGAGAGAGAGAGAGAGGCAGACAGAGATAGAGAGAGAGAAAGGGAAAGAGAGAAATAGTATGTGCATGAGAGAAAGAAATATGTAGAGAAAGAGAAATAGAGGGAGAGTACGTGTGAGAGAATGATATAGACACAGAGTCAGAGCGAGAGAGAGAGAGAGAGAGAGTGTGTGAGTGTATAAGAGGGAGACAGATTGATATAGGATGATATAGAAGAGAGATTATGAGAGGAAGAGTGTGTGAGTGAGAGTTAGAGAATGAGTGAGATAGATATAGTTAGCGATAGGAAGATGAGGTAGTATTAGGTAAGGAAAGAGAGATAGAGATAGTGAGAGAGAGAGAGAGAGAGAGAGAGTGGGAATAGGAGAGAGCGCAAAATAAATTGTTAAAACGTTTTGTTGAAGTTTTTAGATTTTGATTTAGATATAAAGTTTTTTGTAATGAATATTTTTCTTGAGTGTTGATTGCTTGACAGAGACAGGCGATAGAACGCACCTGTCGTGTTTTCGTTATGGTTATCGGTATCGTTATCGTTATCGTGATCGCTTTCGCTATCACTATCGACTCCGCCCGCCGCTAGGGGCAATGCCAATGGCAATGGCAACGCTATCGCTATCGGGCTATCGCTCACGCTCACGCACATCGACTGATAGCGCCCGACCACCGATCGACGAGCCGCCAAGCGCCGTATAGCTCGCGGACAGCCGGACAGGCTGCGATGCACGCTCCGATGCGGCTGAACGTGTCCCCGTCCGTTACAGCCAGGCGTGGGGCATTTCAATATCTGTTCGTGCAGCGCCAGCACTGCGGCCCGCATGTCATTGGTCGTAGGAGAGTAGGACGATCCAACCGGGTTTTGAGGGGGATGAGGGGGAGCGAGTGAGGGGTGAGTGTCATTAGTTAATTGTCAGTAAAGGGACTAAGACTCTAAGTCGCTAAGACTCTACCACAGGCAGCCAATACACACTACTATGGGGCACACAACTACAAGCACAACGCACATCACATAGGCAAATTGCAAAAGAAAGAGAGAGATAGATAGAGTTAAACCTCCTGATATGTAGATCATATGTAGAGCAAACCAAAGTTGAGCTCAAGAGTGAAGGAAGAGCTAAAGAGAGACGTGGAGTGCTTAGAGAATGACAGAAAGAGAGAGAGAGAGATAGAGAGAGAGAGAGAGAGAGAGAGGGAGGATTTACAAAGACAGTATAGAGCAAAGATACACTAGGAGTCAGTTAGTGATTCTAAGAGAGAAAGAGGAGGTGGGGGAGAAAAAAAAGAGAGAAACTGAGTCTCGCATTAAGAGAGGAGTTCAGAAATAGAGAGAGAGAGGGAGTGAGAGAGCGAGGGAGATAGAGATAGAGATGAGATTCAGATATAGAAAGATGGAACGATTTAGAGAGAGAGATTTAGGGTTTAAGGGACAATGGGAAGGAGAGAGAAAGAGACGGAGATAGATAGAAAAAGATTCAGAGATTCTAAATCCAAGAAGGGTTCAGAGAGATAAAGATTTGAAGAAAATTCAGTGAAAGAGAATGAAAACATCATAGAGGTAGGCCGAAAGAATGAGAAATTCAATGAGAGAAAGAGCGAGAAAAATATATTCAAAGACAACGAGAAGAAGAAAGAGTGACCCTAAGCAAAATCACGCACACATACATACATCTACAAACATACACATACTAAGAAGACAGCATGCTACGACGGAAGAGAAAGAGAAAATGAGAGAGAATGAGTGTAGAAAGAGAGAGAGAGAGACATTATGGCCCTCATAGCAAGAGGTAGTAGTTCATATATTTAGATAGAGAAAGAGAGATAGAGAGAGAGAGAGAGAGAGAGAGAGAGAGAGAGAGAGAGAGAGAAAGAGACAGAGAGAGTGACAGGCTATAGAGAATAGTGATATCGATCTACATAGGCGCTACAATATACGAAACTTTTTGGACACTTACATTCCGTTGTGACTTTATCGCGTTTCGGACAACCCGACAAACTGGCCAGGCCAAGAGAAGCGTGGACATATGTGGAAGAGAAACAAAGGCTTACAATTGAGCTTGAGTTGTATGTGTTGAGTGTGTGTGTGTGTTGAGTGTGTGTGCTATGTCTGTTGTCTGTCGTCTGTTTTGTGTTGCGTGTTGTACCTTCGATGATGCGAATATAATCCTGTGACATGTCCTTGGCCAGTGCAATGAGGAGTTGGGCATTTGGCGCCATCTACAAGTAACCAAGTAACAAAATGAATTCAAATCAAGGCAGCAGCTAGACACACGCACACACACACACACACACACACACATACACATACACACATATGCCTAGCCAACAATGTGACAGCGAGCGAGGGAGGCAAACAGGTTTTCTAATTAATTATGTGAATGCGTCAAACGGCAGCAGCAGGAGCAGCGGCAGGAGCAGCAGGAGCGGCAGCAGCAGTTGCTGAGGGTACAAGGGGCTGTGACATGTTCATGGCAAGAAAAATATTCTAGCAAAATGTACAGCTGACAAGGCGCACACGCCGACAGCGACAACAACAACAGCAACAACAGCAGCAGGAGCAGGAGCAGGAGCAACAACTAAATGTTAAAAAAGACAGGCAGCGCATTCTTTAGCCTAAATAATTAATTAAAATTTGATGGAAAACAGCTTTGCATTATTTACTTTAAAAAGAGCACACACACACACACGCACACACGCAGGCACACACACATGACAGCAGTTGCTGCTGCTGCTGCTGCTGCTGTTGTGGGCGCATAAAAAACAAAAACTTTTCAGCCAAAAATCAACCAGACCACGTCTAAACTTGGCCTTCTAAGCACAAATTCTCAAAGATAACGTCACAGCACAGAGCAGACACACACGCAACACACACACACACACAAACAGCGCTCGTGTTGCTGCTGTAACAGACAGCAACAGCAGCAGCAACAGCAGCTAGAGGCGGAGGCTTAATGAAATATTTTTCGAAATATTTATGCATATATACATAGATGCATGTGTGTGTGTGTGCGTGTGTGTGTGTGTGTGTGTCTGTGTCTATTACGTGGCCGTTCAAAATGTCAAACTGCAACGCAGCTCGACTCGACTCGACTCAACTCATTTGGTCGTAATTAGAATTTAATTAAAATGAAGCGAGACGCGCCTGCAATGCCCAAATACAGGGTATTGCCAGGCTAAAGCCTAATAAGCCTGGCTAAAAAGGCTAACGGCAACACGCTAATGACTTATTACGTGCCTTTGCCAACTAGTTTTGTATCTCTTACTCTTCCCCCTCTCTCTCCCTCTCCCTCTCTCTCGCTCTCACGCTGGCAACTATTTAAAAAGTCATTCAAATTATATGAATACCATAGTGAAAATATGCTGTGTGCGTGTGTGTGTGTGTGTGTTTTCTGATTGTGTTTGTGCCTGGCTTAAGAGCACTTGAATCCTTTGTGCCCTTGGCTTTAGGTTTTAGAGCTCTGAGCATATTAATGCCAGCACATAATGACAAAATAAATATGCAAAAGCAGTTGCCAAAAACGTGCCTCATATTTACCCTTTCACATCTCTGTGTGTGTGTGTGTGTGTGTGTGTGCGTGTGTAGACGTGTTTTGTCTGTTCGCTTTTTGACAACGAGAGTTCAATTTTATAAAATTTGTATAATGTGCGCTGAAATTAGTGAAAAAGGCTCAACAACCAACAACCAACAGGAGAAGCCACTCAACTAGTGTGCGTGCGTGTGTGTGTGTGTGTGTGCCTAGAGATGAGCGCTGGTTCGTGCCTAAACAATCGTCTATTGGCTATGCTAAAAGTAATTAGGCACTTTTCAGCGGCTATCGGCTATCCCTTATGTTATCTATAGGCGATGAGCACTAGCTCTATTTTATGTAGATGCTTAAGCAACGTGATATATCTAGTTTTCCTTCAATTATATAGAAGAAACCTATTGTTATCGATAAACGATAAATTAATACTAATTTTGCTGTGTTTAAGAAACGCTCAAAAATTCTGTTTAATTTTTTTTTTTTTAAATTGCATTTCTTATATAATATATTTTTTTTTATGAAACTGATCATATCGTCTAATAATCACAAGAATTCGAAATTTTAGCATTATGCAACACTGGTTTGCTAGCACCATTTGTTGTACTTATATAAGGCGAATGCTACTCTCTCGAGTTCGTTGCATTTCAAGACCATCTACAATTTTCTTTAAAAGATAAAAAAAAAATTTCTAAAAAAAAAAATACTGTTATATCCAAGTAAATAAATCAAAATCGTATAATTCTTTTAAGCTAGCAAATTATATTTACTTTAATTTGATATTGTATCCAGTTCTGTTTTTATTTACGTCTATTTTATAGGTAAGCAATTTTCCATAAGTTCGAATACTTTCTTAAGATCTCTAGTGGTTCTCTCGCTCGCTCCTATATGAGCTAATGCTATACATATTTGTATTATGTTTTTTTCTTTTTCTTCTAACTGCACTTGCTAGTGATAAATTTTAAATATTTTTAAGTAGAACATTTTGTATATTTTTATGTTTTATTCTAAGTTTTCCTTTTATTTTATTTAATAGATATTTCTGTTTTATTTTTATACATTGCTCATCTTTTATTTCTCATAACTACTTTACACTTTTTTCATATCACTTTTACTTTACTCAAAATTATTTTTTTATATCAATATTTTTAGTTACAATATTTAAAAATTTTTTTTTTAAATTTCAATTTTTATTTTTCGTTTCATAATTTCGTTTGGTTATGTCATCTCTAGGCTGACGTGTGTTTGTGTGTCTGCATGTGTGTGTGTGTGTGTGAGGGTTTTACAAGCCATTAGCTGCCTTGCCTCTGCCGTAGACCACGTATCATGCGCCACGCCCACCAACAACCGGCAACCACCTAACGCCCCTCATCCACTTAATGTGAACTTTTGAGCGATGCTGAGCTGTGGGGAGGGGGGGGGGGGGGGGGGGAGGTGTCTTGAGGTTGACAGCCCATTGCTGCCTAAATGTGCAAATAATAATAATAATAACAATGACAACAACAACAATAATGACAACAATAATGATAATAATAATGATGATAACAACAACAACTGAAGAGGACTCACGTCTGCAGCGAGCCGAAGATGGAAAACATTTGCAGAATAATATATGTGTGATCGTAAGACACACACACACACACACACACTCTCTCTTTCTCTCTCTCTTTCTCTTTCTATATCTCTGTCTCACTCTCTATGTCTAGTTATTGCTTAGCCAATTTGTCTTAAACTCAATGCAACAAGAAGTTTCGCCGATTTTATATTTGTTTCCGATTTGGTTTGTATTACATGTGTGGGTGGTTGGGCTGGAAGGGCGGGGTGTGGAGGTGTAGATCGATGGTGGTTCGGGTGGGTGGGGAGTTCTTGGTTCACGAGCGGAACTGGAACTGGCACTGAGAGTGGCACCGGAACCGGAACCGTTACCGTTAACACAGCAGCTTAGCCAGTTCAATGGAGTTGTTGATAGCCTTAGCCTTTTTTAGCTTTTTTATTAGCTTGTTTGTTTATTTTTTCTTTTTTTTTGTGTGTGTTTAGTAACAACAACGACAACAACTTACCGCGGTTTTGGCTGCCCGGCGAGTAGCTGGGCGCTGGCGTAGATGCGGCGGCTGCTGCTGCTGCTGTTGCTGCTGTGGGCGTAACTGCTGCTAGGGGCGTGGCTGTTGCTGTGGGCGCAGCTGTTGCAGCTGCCGTTGCTGCCGCCGCCGTTGTTGCTGCTGCTGCTGCCGTTGCTGTGACTGCTGTGACTGCTGCTGCTGCTGCTGCTGCTCCTGTTGCTGCTGTCGTCGTTGGCGCAACACCAATAACTCCCTCACGTGCAATATCCTGCATCACCGAGGCCGCTCGACTGCCGACGCCCGCCGGCTGCAATATCGTATACTGTTTGGCATCCATCAGCGGCTCCTTACCCCCCGCCTTGGCCAGCCGCGGCTCGTTGGGCGAGCCCAGCTGCGGCGCCATCTCGTAGCTGCGACTCTGATCGAGGCAGAGGCCGTGCTGCTGCTGCTGCTGTTGCTGCTGCTGTTGCTGTTGCTGCTGGCTGGCAGCTGCTGCTGCTGCATAGCCATAGTAGGCCTCGGCGGCATTGTAGGCGCTGCTCGTATACTGTGCATGGGCGTAGGCCTGCGCCTGGGCGTGGGCGTGCGCCTGGGCCTGGGCGTGGGCGTGGGCAGCAGCAGCAGCGGCCAATTGGCCGTTGCGCTTGATGATGTCGATGGGCGGCTTGAAGGCGGATGTTGCTTGTGTGTAGCCAGAGTTGTTGTCGTCCTTTTTGTTGCTGCTGTTGCTGCTGCTGTTGCTGCCATTGCCATTGCCACTGCCAGTGCCATTGCTGTTGTTGTTAATGTTGTTGATGTTGCTGATGTTGTTGTTGCTGGCATTGAGGCGCGCCTGATCGTTCTCCTTTTGCCTGTGAAAGCGCAGCAGCAATGTGTGCGAATTGCTGTTGCTGTTGTTGCTGTTGCTGCTGCTGTTGCTGTTGCTGTTGCTGTTCGCATACTTTTGCTTCTCTTCGAACAGATTCTGAAATGGCGGCGGATTCTCGTCCTCCTGCTCCTGCAGGCGATACAGATTGGTGCGCGCATCTGGCCAGCTGCCCGAGAGACTCTTGAGCGCCGCCTGAGTCTCCCGTATCAGTGCCTCGTCATCCTGATCGGCAGCATCTTGTACGGCGGCAACAGTTGCTGCTGTTTTGGGTGTTGCTGTTGCGGCAGCTGCTGTTGCTGCCGTTGGATTGCTGTTCTCGCCGCTTGCTGTTTTGGCCAACTGTCGCTTCTTCTGTGGCAATGTGTTGTTGTTGCTGGTTGTGTTGTTGTTGTTGTTGTTGTTGTTGCTGACAGCCAATTCATCATCGCGACTGCAGCGTTTGCGTCGCTTTATCGACGTCTCATGCTCATTGCTGTTGCTGCTGATGTTGCTGTTGTTGCTGTTGCTGCTGTTGTTGCTGTTGTTGCTGTTGCTGCTGCTCTCGACCAAGGGCGTCTCCTTGCTTAAGGGCCGCTTGGACAGCGCCATTTTTGCCAGTTTGCCAGTTGCCAAAATGCCTTAACAACAAATTTTCATGTGAGCTCAAAATTGGTTTTGGTATTTTTTGTGTTTTTTTTTTTTTTGGTTTTTCTAGTATTTTTGGTTTTTGTTGTTAGTTGTTTGTTTACTTACGGCTAAATGTTAGTAGCATTTGACAAAAAATTTGGGGACAAGAGAGTTTATTCGAGTGGGAATTGGGATCAAGCAGGTGGATTCATTGTTATCATGCAGCAGCCGCAGCAGCAACAATTGCTGTTGCAAGCTGAACGCAAATAAAAGAGCTGCATCAACTAATATAGATTCATAAAAAATAATTTGTTCTTAATTTGAAAATAAAACTTTATTCTTAAACATAAAAACGAAGTCAAAAAAACATAATTTTGTACACTGACAAAAAAACAGCAGTTAGTTCATTTCATAGACGAAAGATGCACAGAATATGCAGAATATGATAGATGAAAGTTTTCTCGACACAACATTAAATTCTCGACTAGAAACTGACTTCATAAAATCAAGATTTTCTCTTCCTTCTAGCTTTACTGGCTTCCCAGCTATTCTTCTACTTACTCTAACTGAGCTTTATGTAAGAAATGGTAAAGCTCTATTTACTTTTAGCTATACTAATATCTCAGCTTTTGTTCAAGTAGTCGAATACCGATTATTGTTTTAGTATTTTTGTAGTTTGATCATTTATTGAAATAAATCTAGAAATTCCCATACTATATTCAAAATCTTTTGAAATAACTCTATTCTGTTTCGACACGCTACTATTTATTATAGCAATATCTCAGCAGCTTCTTGTGTGATCGATTAGAAAATATTTTTAATATAGTTTATGACTTTTGTCTTTTCAAATTTTGAACTAGATTCCAGTTCTTCATTCAAGTCGAATATTCGTTCGGGTTGTTGGTACTTCAGATAGGCCTCAACTGAAGTTGAGCTTGAGTTTACTAGAATGTAGCACATAATGTATACAGATATAGATATATCTATCTATACAGATATATGTATATGATTTCTACTTCTATATAAAATATCAGAGCTAAAAGAAAACTATCTTGAGGCAAGCAAAAATATTTTGCATCAGTTTTTGTGTCTTCCATCTGAAATCGGGCACTTCTAGCACCGTCTTCGTATTTATTCTGTAAAGGCAGGTCTAACGCATCTAAATGAGACTAGAAATACTCTCACTTCTTGAACTAGAGTTATTGTATGGCAATATATATGTGAGTAGTAGGTAGATCATTTGCTAGTGGACTAGATCACATGGCTGCTGCACTACTCTAGCTGAAGAGCTCTATAAATATGTCACCAATTCTCAATTGCTTTCGCCTATCTCGATTTGTGCAGGTATTAGAATAGTTCTTTATTTCATTTAGGCCAACTTCTGCACTTCTCTCGAATATGAGTTAAATCCAACTTTATCTATAAGAACATTTGCAGTTCGGAGCTGCTTTGGCACTCGGCGTAAGAAGAAACAATGTTGGGTTCTTTAACGTCAATTTCCCATACGATATATCCTATATATCTATGCTATATACGATTGCCTACCCATCTACCTGTCAATCACTTTCTTCACATTTATTTTCACAGCATATGCAATTTCCCCAACGAGCTGGCGCCTGGGGCTAGGCAACAGATTTAGTTTGGCAAAGAAAAGTAAATTATAGAGTTTGACAACACTGGCTTTGATATGTTTATGGTGTAGTTTAAATGGCAGAATTTTGGGGCAAATTTTCATAATCATTTTGGTTCGTTTCGGTTAATATATTTTTTTTTTTGTATTTTCTTTAGCTTGCAAAAAATTTCAATGTGATTTTTCTTGTTGCATTGAATTTCTATTTGTTGTTTTGATRTATATATATATATTTTTGTTTGATATTTTTTGGTATTACTTGTATTTTAATGGGTTTTACTTAGTTAGCTAATGGACTAAATATAGAGTTCCTGGCTGGATTACGAGCTTTAGAGTTTTTCATCATTTCGTTTGAGTTTGTTTTAGATTGAGAAAATTTGAACTTTACCTATTTGAGAATTGTGCGATTCGGTTTAGCTTTGTTTTTGGTATTTGTTTTGTGGTATTTTCAGTTGTTAGTTGTCTGTTGTGGCTGGGCCTATTTTATTGTGTGTTGCACTTTAGAGACTTTTGGTGGCTGGTTGTAGTTGTTGCACGCTTGCCATGCTGCATGTTGCACTTGACACACACACACACACGCGCGCACACACACAGAGAAAAAGAACAAAAAATTAGCTCATATATATTTGTATTTCTATTTCTATTTAGCTTTTGCACTGCACTTGGATTTTGTTTTGGGGGTGGGGGAAAAAAAATAATGCGAAACGAGTTGTGGAGCGCACGGGAGTCGCGGATTGTTTTGTTTTGGAGCTGCCGTGGCGTATACGCAATATCAATTAACGCGCGCACTTTGCTCGACTTTGAGTTTAGTTTTAGGCCGACGCCGACGTCAGCGACGGCAGCGGCGACAGCGACGGCGACGGCGACGACTTCACTTTAAAATCTGTTTGATTTTTGCGTTATTTTTTTGTTTGCTTGTCGCAGTTGTTGCTGTTGCTGCTGCTGCTGTTGTTGTTGTTTCTGTTGCATTTGCTTGCTGTTGTTGCTGTTCGCTTCCCTTAGGCAAGGCGAAACTTTGTTAAGTTGGGCGCGCGTCGCGTAGTTTGGCAAAAGTTTGTTTTTAACTTTTGATGCGGCGCGCAAAGTTTTTTTTTTTCGTGTTTTTTCGTTTTTTTTCGCTTTTTGTTATTTTGTTGTTTGTTGTTGTTGCTGCGCGGCTGAATTGCAATAAACCGTTGAGCGGCGATTTCTTTTTGGCGGCGTGAAGTCCGGACGTCCAAAAACCGACTGCTGCGTTGCGTTTGGGGTAATAAAATTTTACATCGGCAGCGGCTGGCTGGCCGTCACACAAACACGTTAGCCGCGCAGTCGGCGTCGACGCAGCGCCAGCAGCGAACGCATCGGCTGCGTCGGGATTGGCAGTGGGGCACTGTGGGCGACGACGCGTGCGGGGCGCGAGGGGACTGAGCTGTGTGGGACGGGACAACACGCTAAGAGGCGTATGCAATCGTCACTCGGCACACGACAACGACAACGACAACAAAAACAACAACGACGACGACGACGACGACGACGCGAGGAAACTTCGTAAAGTTCGCGTAACTGTGATGCTTCGTTCTCTTGCTCTGTCTACTGCCTTCTGCTTACACTGCTTCTACTTCTTCTTCTTGTTCTTATTCGTCGACTTCTTCTTCTTCTTCTTCGACTACATACAGCTGGCTCAGGAGGAAGCCCGAAAACGTGCGTCTCTACCTGTTCTAAGTTCGCTGCTAACTGACAGTTTTCCAAAGTTGTCGAACTTTCGAACGCAATGAAAATTGCAGCCAAATTTCTGCTGCCGCTGCCAGCGTCGGCAGCGACGCGCACACACACACCCAGCTGTGGCGTTTTCGGAGTAAACACGAGTCGCCACCCGTCGTCGGCTGTGCTCGTGCGCCTGCCTTTCCCCAGTCGCTGGGGCTTAGCACAGTTGCGGCAACTGTTATACGCGCACGTATGCCAGCCACAGCGTCGGCGCACTACGCGGCAGCGCTCTGCGCGTATGTGTGTGTGTGTGTGCGTGTATGTTGTCCGAAAAAGACGCAGCGCATTCCTGCAGCCAGCCGCCCTCAGCGCTGATTTGCCTTTTATCTCTTGCACGCTAATTGTAAATTCCAGCAGCGACGCCAACTGCTGCTGCTGCCTCTGTTGCTGTTGCTGCTGCTGCTGCTGGTATTCACAAATGAGTTTATCCCGTTGTCGGGCGCAGTCCGCAGACGCGCACGACGCGCCGTCCGCAGGTGGATTGGCAGTCAAATTTGTTGTTGTTTCTTGTTTTGTAGATTTCTCGATCACTGACTCAAAAAATAAATAACAAAACAAAAATTCAAATTCCGATTGCGATTCTGAATATGCATGGCTTATCAGCTGCCGCTGCCGACGCCGCCTGCAGCTGCTGCTGTTGCTGCTGGCGCTCCATTAGTGACGCAGCTTTGTGATTTGGCAGCCGTCGACTGAATCAGCGGCTGCAGCGATAGCGGCTCAAAGTGCAAACCCATCAAATTAGCCACGATCAGCGCCGTTTGGTTCTGCAAATGGAACTAGTTCGTCTCTGAGTTCCGTTTGATATGATATGAACTAGTTACTCGCTGTGCTTTGTGAGTCAGTTTCGAGCTTTGGTGTTTTTCACACAGTTCAAGTAAACTAGCTCACTTATTGCGCTGCTTGGCACCAAGTTCCAATTAACTAGTTCCGTTAGAATTTTGTTTTTTGTTTTTTGGGTAAAGTTCACGGAAAGTTTTTGCATAGTTCGCGGCATATTTGCAAGTGTTTCAAACAAACTTTCTAGACATTTTCGTATAGACCACAACAATCAAATATATGTATACAC